TCAGCTTCTTGCATTCATCTGACTTGGAGATAGCAGCATCATTTGCTGAAGCTGCCATGGGGTTTGCTACCATTTGTGTCTTCGCCAAAACAAACTCAAAGGCAGCTTGTCCTGCCATTGTTTTGCAATACAACACTACTAACTTGCTGGGCGCCAAATCTTGAGAAGCAGCTGACAGAAACACAGAAAGCATTACACAACAAGATTACAGTCACCCTGAAAAGCTGCAGCAAAGCAATGCTAAAGTTGTTGCGTCTTTATTAAGTGTATACATAAAGTTCATAGCTAGAACATGTCATAGACTGCATTCTGACACTGCAAACATTGATGTTATTTGAATGCACATCTCCAAAACTCGACTGATGAACGGGAGAACGGGAGAGGGATGGAGCAGAGAGAGAAAAGAACAACACGGCCCAAAGGGAAACGGTTGAGAGGCAGAATGAAGGAGTTCTGCAGTTTTGCATGGCTGGAAATTCTGCGAAGATGTGCCTAGACTTGTTTCTTGTTTTCCTCATCAAGAGAAAACAAACAACAGTACCAGAGGAGAATGGGAGGACCAAAAGAAAAGACAAACTCAAACTCACAGAAACTATATAGTCAAACAAGCACAAAGTACCAGAGGAGAATGGGAGGGAACCAAAAGAAAACACAAACTCAAACTCGCAAAAACTATATATATAGTCAAACATAGTCAAACTAACAAACTTCCACAAACAAACAGGCAAACACAAAGTACCAGCGGAGAATGGGAGGGAACGAAAAGAACATAAAACAAAACTATATAGTCAAACTAACAAACTTCCAGAAACAAACAAACAAGCACAAAGTACCAGAGGAGAATGGGAGGGAACCAAAAGAAAAGACAAACTGAAACTCATGAAAGCTGTATAGTCGAACTAACAAACTTCCACAAACAAACAAACAAGCAATACCAAAGTACCAGAGGAGAATGGGAGGGAACCAAAAGAAAACACAAACTCAAACTCACAAAAACTATATAGCCAAACATAGTCAAACTAACAAATCTCCACAAACAAACAGGCAAACACAAAGTACCAGAGGAGAATGGAAGGGAACCAAAAACAAAAGAACGACTCAAACAAAAACAATATAGTCAAACTAACAAACTACCACAAACAAGCAAACAAACACAAAGTACCAGAGGAGAATGGGAGGCAACCAAAAGAAAAGACAAACTCAAACACACAACCACTATACCGTCAAGCTAACAAACTTCCACAAACAAACGAACAACCACCAAGTACCAGAGGAGAATGTGAGGGAACCAAAAGAAAACACAAACTCAAACTCACAAAGACTATATAGTCAAACTAACAAACTTCCAGAAACAGACAAACAAGCACAAAGTACCAGAGGAGAATGGGAGGGCACTGAGGGAACCAAAAGAAAAGACCAACTCAAACTCACAAAGACTCTATAGTCAAACGTAGTCAAACTAACAAACTTCCACAAACAAACAGGCAAACCCAAAGTACCAGAGGAGAATGGGAGGGAACCAAAAACAAAAGACAAACTCAAACTCACAGAAACTATATAGTCAAACTATCAAACTTCCACAAACAAGCAAACAAACACAAAGTACCAGAGGAGAGTGGGATGGAACCAAAAGAAAACACAAACTAACAGTCAACAAAGTACAACATTGAATCATCCAAGGAAACTCTGATCAGCTCCCGTTCCTGCCTGGATCAGCTGTCCAAGCCTGGCAAGAATAGCTAAAATGAGTTGAAATAAACTGTATATTGTCAGTTGTCAGTTGCTGATAAAGAGCTAAGTTGTGAGTTGAATTCAGCAGCACGTTTTTCAAGCAGCGCCAAGTAGTAGGAAGCTTGTGGCATTGCTTTGAATTTGGCAATGGCAACTACAACTGGCAACATCTACACAAACATCTACAACTGGCAACTGGCACTCATCCCCATCCTCGTGACCGTTTGGTCCACGGTTGTGACTCGGACTTCATGATCCAAGACATCTTTTCTCTGCAATGCGCAACCACGAAGGCACTTGGGTCGTCGTGCTTCTGAGTGTCGTTCAGCATGCCTAATGCAAAGTTAGACCAACAAACCAATACAATCAAACAAGACCAATCACGCAAGGCAGCCATAAACCAAGTCGAGATACCTTGCAAAGGTACCAGAAGGTTCTTTGCGTAGGTCACTCCATCTTCAGAGTAAGATGCAAGGCCGAAGAGGGTCTCAGAAAAACACACAAGTCAGAGAAGACACTGCCAAATTCAGCAAGCACTTCAATCAGAAACTGCTTACAGCACAATGACGTTAAGGGCAACAGAATCAAGTAGAAGATACAATGCAATCCATGACATCCGTGGACAGCCATTGCAGCCAAAGAGCCCAGCATGCCTTCTCATCCACTTGCAGCTGTTGTGCATACCAACTGACTGCCGGGATCAACTCATCGAGTTTTTGGTGGACAGCCTGGGAATACAATACCAATACTCAACTACTCAACCAAATCATTTTTCAATACCAATACATTACAATGCAATAATCGTTTTCAAATCATTATATCAGCTGAGGCTCGGTGGATGCGGACTGAACCGGTTCCTGTTCCATCTCAGTCTGAGGCTCCACTGTCACTGCGTCACCCACCTGCGTGTCAACATCCTTCAGGTAATGGATACCTAGTTCAAGTAGCCATCGTCGCGTCTTCACTGAGAAAGTGCCCATGAGGCCATCAGGTTTTCGATGTGCAAAGCGTCCGAGCCTGCCAAGCAGCCAGATTTCAAAACCATATAATCTTTATTTATAGATAAATTTGTTACATGTCTAGAACGTTCAGCTCAAACCAAAACAATTGACAGTTCAATCAGTGTCAGCCATGGCACCCTTCCAAGCTGGGAAGGTACAAGGGGCACTTCAAGATGAAGCTGATGGCGCCAGCCAGAACTCTGGATCGATTCTTGCCATGAGAACCTAGCAGCCATTGTGGCACGGACTTGAATTTGGATTTGGTGAAAAACGATGTCACTGGGCAGCAAAGTGGGAAACTGGCAAACTGTTACACAGAACAACTACCCAAGCATAATGCAACTTGAACAGAGCAGCAGCACAGGTTCACGATCAGAGGGCCAACCAGTTCCTCCCGCACATAGTCACTGATCATTCCCAACAGGAAACGCAGGGTTCTGACATACCCTGGACCGATCAACTCATCCTCATGACTGAGGTTCTGAATTCCTAAGCTGGCAGCAACACCAAGCGCTGAAAGTGGAAAGGTGCAAAGGCATGGAAAACTGTATCAATAGAAATTCACACAGTGAAATCGGTGAGTTAGATCAAACAAATCTGCAGCCAAGCGTCTGCTGGGGTCATTCGGGATTTGACCACGGACATCCATGCTCATCACTGTTCCATCGTGCCAATTATGCTTGATCTCTCCAGGGATTATTGCTTTCCCCTTCACACGGCCACCTCAGAGCAACAAGCAATGACACAGACAATGACAGAGCAACTTCAACACAAGAGTCCATGACTGATACAAAATCAGCTGCAAGCCACGGACATCTGGCAACTCTCCATCACCATCATCAACATCTATCACAGGACCATGTGCCCTTGCACCACTACGGCCACGCCGGCTTGACTTGGGAGCCATCGTGGCTGTTGAGCCAGCAGAAAAATTAAGTTTCACAGCAGTCCAAGATGCAACAACACAATGAACAAAGTTCTGCAGGTCACAATGAACAGGCTGTCTGAAACTATCAGTGAAAGCAGGAACCCTGCCTCACCAAGCAATGTAGTCGAGATCAACATCATCAAGACCTCGTGCTACACAAGTTGAGATTGGCTTCAAAACTTTGGATACAAAGCTTCGACTGCAACAACAGCTTAGCAATATCATGCCATGAGCAACAACACATTGACATGTCTAATGAACATATGCCAGGCCAACGCGCTGGAAATACTTGTGAAATCCTGAGCACCCTGCTTGGAAGTGCTCAATCAAGCGCAGCTCCACACATGTCAGGCCAGGTAAAAAAGATTGACACTGACAGCCGACAGCTTCAACTGACAACTTCAACTGACAATATCAGAACAGACAATGATAATGTAGAATTCCAAATCGCAGAACTTGGTAACGATACCAGGGAGATGGAGAACTATGAAGAATATAATGACAGATGTCAAGTGATAACACATAGTACTATTAAACATCTCGATAGGTGGCGACACCCGTCCAGTCCAGTCCGCATTGGATCCACTTCAGCCATTCTCGCACGTGAACACACCCAAGATATGCTATGTCATACCATGATCACGTTCTGTGAGAACACATTTTTTTAATTATGTGACAAACTGCTTTTCAACATGAAACTATGACACATGTATACTGTATACATTATATTATATATGTTACACATTCATATTAAGTCAAAGAAAGGTCAGACTGATCGGACCCTAACAAGTAACAATGAGTAAACCATTATGACGTTTCAATGGTTCAGAGTTATTTTACTTCGAGTGGTCCCCGCCATGAAGGTGATTTGTGGGAATTGACAATGTTCTGACACTGACTTGTTCTGGCATCAAATCTGGTGTGTGTGCTCTGACACATCATCTTTCATAAGGCTGTGAAACGTTCTGGGCCATGTTCTAACATTTTTGTTGGCATGTGTCTGACAATTTCTACGGTCAGATGTGCCTCCTTAGGCACTGCACATACAAAGACCCAAATGCTATGAAAGTCTTGAATAGCTTGGTCATGGCTTGATCTACGCACGGCTACGATTCATGGGTTTGCCGGTCTTACGACTCCACTCGGACCGTGCATCTGCACAGGGACCTTTACAGGACCTTTACTGATGGAGATAGCTGAATGGGCGTGCAGAGGCTGAGGTTGGGACTATCTCCAGGCACACCAAGACTTTGCTCAGTCAGGCGGAGGTGTCCACCGAGCTCTGGCCCTTGGCAGCGCGTCATGCTGCTGAAAGAAGGCTAAGGATTCAATTGGAGGCCATGAAGATGCCGGTCAAGGCATTGCTTCCTTTTGGGAGTTGGGGCTACGCCAGGGTGAAGTACTGGAACGACCGGACCACGGACTTCCAGCGCACGAAGGTCCAGATTTTGGGACCAGATGCCTCGATGACCGAGGGGGTACTATGTCCGGACAGAAGCTGGAAAGTACCTGCATACCGCAGATGTGCGGACCTGGCAGGAAATGCCTTTGGAAGATGGACTTCCGCAGCTTGGTGATGCCGATGAAGAAAGGCATCCGGTGCGAGAGTTTGGGGTTCCGCGGAGGCGGATCGAGGGGAAGACTTCGAGCTTTGAGGGCGGAATTCCAGGAGCTGGACTTGGGAGGAGGCCTACAGTGCTGGCAGCGAATTCTACATGGAGGAAGCTCGGACCAGGGAGGTCCTATGGCCGCAGACGGTCACGGTGTCTGCTGATGTTCGCGCGGGAGTTGGGCGATTGGAAGGCGGCCATCAAGGCCGAGTATGACTCGCTGCTCAGCACGGGCACGGTGCGGAAGGCAGTGAAGAACGAGGTCAAGGAGCTCGAGGAGAAGTGCCATGATGAAGGCAGGATCTTCAAGGTGGTGCCAGGGAAAGCTGTGTGCGCCAGAAAAAGTCCAGACGGACGGCGTGGGGTCATCTGTGGGAACTATATGCAGGAGCGTCCTGCTGAAGAGGTCTATGCCAGCGGCATTGACGTGGGGGCAGTTCGAAGCCTCATTCGGCACGCAGCCCTGGAGCGCTGGAGCCTGGTGACGGTGGATGTGAAAACCGCCTTTCTTCACATCCCTCAAGAAGAGCGTAAGGATGTGACTATCGTCAATCCGCCCAGGCTGTTTCAAGATGCTGGAGTCACTGCCGCGGGAGAGCAGTGGATTGTCCAAGGGACCTTGTATGGCACCATCGCTGCACCAAAAGAGTGGGGGGCCTACCGCGACCGCATGATGGCGGAGATGGTGTGGGGTGAGCAGGGCGAGTGGCGCCTGGTGAAGCTCCCTGAGGCCAATGTTTGGGCCATTGAGAAGAAGGTCAAGGTGACCGGGGTGGTCCATGGCCACGTGGCGGTGTACGTCGATGACGTGATGGTCTCAGGCACCGATGCCACGCTGGCAGCCTTCATCGAAAAGTTTAGGTCCATGTGGACGTGCTCCGAGGCCGATTGGGTCGAGGAGGGAAAAGTTACCAAATTCTGTGGCCTCGATGTGGAGAAGGATGGTGGGGGCCAAGAAAGCTACATCCGGCTCATGATGGCTAAACACGAGATCGAAGGGATCTCCAAACTGCCAAAGGTCGAGGTGCCGACCGAAGATGAGGAGGAGCCAGAGCTAGCTTGCATCTGGCATGTGAAGTCCTTTGGGTAGCCTCTCATACCCGGCCAGAAGTGGCCTTTGCAAGCGCTGTCATGTCTCAGTTTGCGGTCAAGCGGCCAAAAGCCGTGGTCAAGATCGGTGAGGAGGTACTGAAGTACTTGGCTGGTACGCCAACCTTGGGGCTGTACTACGGCGCTGTGGAGGAGATTTCCGGTCATGGAGAGCACCACCAGCTCCCGATCAAGAGGGGCCGCAGGACCATGGAGGCTCACTACGATGCAGCATTTGCTCCCGGCGGAGGGAAGAGCATGACCGGCTTGATCGTGAAGTACGCTGGGGCGCCAGTCTTTTGGGCCTCAATGAGGCAGGCCGCGGTGGCCTTGAGCACGGCAGAGGCCGAGCTGACAGCTCAGGTGGAGGCGCTGGTTGCTGGGAGAGCATGCCGTGCGCTGGTGGAGTTGTTTGAGGGACCTATGGTTGGGGTCATCTACAACGACAACAACGCAGCGTTGTCGATCGCCGCTGGGACGAGTGGGTCATGGAGGACGCGCCATTTGCGCATTCGGGCCAACGCCTTGACGGGGGCGGTGGAAAAGAAGGAATGGATGCTAAGGCATCTGGATGGGGGCTACTTGGTGGCGGACGGGCTCACCGAGCAGTTGGCCGGAACCTTGCGTGAGCGGCTCATCAAGGAGCTCTTGCTCAGGGATGGCAGGGAGGCTGCAGTGAAGAAGATGTGTCTGAAGCGGCTCAATCCGGATGTCCATGATCGGATTGTGAAGGCTGCTGGCCTGATTGTGGCCGCTGTGGCACTCCAAAGTGTCGCTGACACGGAGGAGGCCAAGGGTGATGATGATGGCAGGAGTTTCTTGATCCTGATCGTGGTTTTGGTCCTCATAGCGGGCTACATCATTGGCGATGCCATCAAGCGGTATGGGCTTGCGGCTCTCCGGAGGATGTTGGGCACCGAGGACATTGTGAAGGTGAAACTGCTCCGCGAGGAGGCTTTGGTGCCAGCACGAGCACGCTGGGGTCAGCAGGAGTCGATGGCATGACTGTGGATCCTGGGTGCAGTGCATTGGTGGGCACTGGACTGGCGATGGAGTTGCCAGTGGGCACCTATGGGCGCCTGACCTCAAGATCCAGCATGATGGTGAAGGGGATGAATGTTGGGCCTGGAGTCGTGGACCGCGATTCAGGGATGAGATCAAAGTGTTGGTCATGAATGGGTCTGACCAGCCATATGTCATCAACCCGGGCGAGTTGCACAGATGGTCATCGAGAAGGTCTATAAGGGTGAGCTCAAGACCGTCAAGGACCTGGGAGGAGTCCTACCGTGCCAGTGGAGGGTTTGGCTCCACTGGAGTGAGGTCACTCCGGCTGACTGGAGGTGGCGGATCGCCAAGTGCTCGGGGAGAGCGGGGTCGAAGCCAGGAGCCACCTACGTCAGGGGTACGGCTGAGGTCTAGGGAGAGGTCAAGAACCAGGACCTTCCCGAGGGAAAGATCGCCAGAGGAGGTGAATGTGACCTACCATGATGATGGTAGCACCTCGACACAGCGGGTGACTGGAGAGAAGGTGTACTTCAGGGCTCCTGCAATGCGCACCACTTCGGTGAGGCGACCAGGAGATGGTGGAAGTTGAGGTCGAGGAAGAGCAGGAGACTGAGGCGCAGCCAACTACTTCGGGATTGGCCCGCGTGCGATGGCATGGCCGAGCATGGCGTGTGGAAGGGGCGCAGGTGTTCCATGTGCGCCTGCTGGGGCAGGAACGACGTGGACACCACGAACGAGATTGTGGTCGCCGACGGCGCCGGGCATCGGCGGGATCAGCCGCATAGGGTGGATGGAGGACGCACTCTCCGCCCGTGCGCGCGGTGTGGTTAGAAGGGCTTGAGCTTGAAGAGCTCGGATGTTTTTGGCGCTGAAGCCTCCAAAAAGGGGGAGCGCTTGGAATCATGTAAGCATGTGGTCATAGCATGCTGGAAGATTTCTCACTTGGGCATGACCGTAGCCCTTTTGTTTGCGCTCAAAGGAAAAAGGCGATTAAGGCCTTTGCAGCTTGGTTTTTTAGCACACGTGCTTTGTACATGTTTGCCTGTATACCTCATATACCTTTCTTATTGCTTTTGGTCGCTTTGAGTGCTCTCGAAAGACGTAGCTTTGTCAATCTTATTGATTGAGCAACAATGCAACATGCCTTGCAAAAGCACCCCTTTCATACTGGACCAGGACAAAAGTTACAACTTGGAAGGATGCAACACTTCTTCTTCCACTTCTTCAGCCTCCTCATACAAGTAATTAGTGTCGTCACCGTGCACATTTGCATGGATTTCAAAGACACGTCCATACTTCCTCAACTTTCCAAGCAAAGATAAGCCGTTATGATTTCACTGAGGGCCGCACAAGAAGCGGGACTTGAGTCTTTGCTGAAGTACTGTATACCAGGTTTCCGGTAGTTACGGTGCTCACCATGCTTCTCGCCTTAGGTTTGCGTTTTGCGCTATTCTTGCGAGCTTTGATTGCAACGCCACTAGCGGTCCTAGCAACAAGAACGCGTGGAAAAGGTTTCGTCTCATCTTTCATTGTGTTTCGTTTTTGCTTGCACTGGTTTTGTCGCCAGGTGTGTTTAGCCCTTTTGTTGGCTGCCTTGGTGCGCAGCTGGTGCTTTGCAGAACTGCCGAACCCAGATCAGAGGACAATGAAGATGCTGGGGTGGCGCACGGGCTTTATAATGCTTTATTGATATCATGATGAATGCCGTGCATGTACCTTGGTGTTTTTCACAGTGTGCGAAGACTGCCGCCAGCAACAACTTCTATGCATGTTTGCAGTGCAAGACGTTAAAATAAGTTGCTGGGGGTTGAGTGAGTCACCAAGATACAGTAGGATGTGTAAATCCGGTCATAATCAAGTGTGATGGGAAGGACGTTTCAACATCTTGGTATTTGGATTGGAGAGAGTGATCAGTTTTGTGTGCACTCAGTGAAGATTCACGAGCAAGTGGAGGACACCCCTCGAGGATTTGAAGGTTGGTGAAGAAGTAGACGGTCGCGTGATCAAGAAATTCTTTCCCAATGGTTGGTGACTTGGCTCAGTTCTCAGCTCAGCGCTCTTTGTAGCAATATTTACTTTGTAGTATATAGTATTACAAATATATACTATATATATATATTATACTGGGTACCGGTGACATAGGACTTGTCGCTACCAGTGACTCAGGATTAGCGGTTCCTAAGTCATCAGCGAACGGCAAAGTGCACGGTATAAACCCTGTCCAAACTAAATGCTGATGACTTAGGACTTGTGTGCGAGGCACCTCCAGGCGCCTGCGTCATATGATCAAACAAACAATAAAAACAATGTCCAAACTGTGGGATGACAAATGGTGATGACATAGTAGGCTGTCGTATTGTTTTTTGTTCCGCATATTCGTTTCCCAAGTCATCACACTGTTAGAGCCAAGAGTTGGACATTTTTGCTATTCATTTCCTACATGACTTAGTAAACTTAGGAGAAAACATGTGCGAATAAAGCAAGACGACAGCCTATGTCATCACTATTTGTCATCCCACCGCCTGGAGGACATTTATTTTGGACAGGGTATGGACAGGGTTAAAGTCAAAAAGCCGGAGGACTCCACAGAACATGGCATGATGACTTAGGAGTTGTGCACCGCATGCTATTCTTTGACCTATCGCTTTTGCTGCTTCTAGTCCAATTCCTGAGATTCCCGACCACTCTTTAGTAAATTGGTCGACATCATGTTATTCAAGAACGCGTACGAGCAAATACCCTCTAATGTCTGATGACTTAGGATCCACCCAAGTTTTTTCCCTCTCTCTCTCTCCTAGGTCACGATCTGAATGGCATCTGCAATCTGTCAACTAGTCCTACGTCATTACCGTCTGTGAGTGAATTTCACTCTTTTAAAGAATCTCCGGAGCTAACCATTTTTGGCCGCATGTTCATTGTCTTAGCCTGATGACTTAGGATTAGTGTTTCTGCAGCTTGTCCGGCTAATCCTGGGTCACTTGTACCCAGTATATTTTGAAGGGGGGTTAGGCCGCAGAGGTAGCTAGTAGCTAGAGGTAGCTCGTAGTAGCTAGGTAGCTAGTACCTTACTTAAGCTACTAGTATGGGCGCAGGATAGCTCATGCTTCTTCAAGGAAGCTCCTCCTGCCGCCCTAAAAGCAGCGGGGGCCAGCTTCCTTGAAGAAGCGCTCGCACGGTTCATTTGGTTCCTAGATGTGTGGGGAAACTTAAGGCAAGTGTTAATTGCCAATTGGACAACAAAATTCAAAGAGCATGCAAGACACAGGACTTTTGCGCAGCCTTGCACAAGCTACCAAGGTTCGTAAACATCGGTGCCACGAAAGATGCATTTTTGGAGTTCGAAGAAGCCTTTGATGGCTTTCCGCCCCAGAAGTTTAGCACATGGCGACGCTTTGCTATTGACACAGGAAGCAGAAGCAACGGATCTCACATTTGTGTTGGTGCAGTTCCTACTAGCACTTGCGTTAAGTCGTTTGGTCTTGTAGAAAGTCGTTTGGATGCTGCGTTTACAATGGGGTCAGATGCAAGATGGCAATATATATATATATAACTGGAAGAGTGTCAGGTCAACAACATTGTTGGATGCTGCGTCTACATGTGGTTTAGGTGCAGGCAATCTATGTTTAGGGGCTAATCTTCACGATAGTCCTAGAAGTCTTTTAGACAGTGTTGATGAGCCCACCGATGCCCGCTGACATCTCAAGATCGAAAGGCTTTAAGCTTAGGGTTCATGGTCGCGTGGCGCTCCCTGGTGAAGAGTGTGGGTGGTGAAGCGGCTCGACTGGTTTTGGGCTGGCTGATGACAGTTTGTCGCGAGGGTCGTCTTGCAAGGCGGTTGAGTTGGAATCCACCTCCTGTTTGAAATCACTGGAGACCTGTTTGAAGGATCGGACTGACTGGTTTTTGAGGGCCGGAAAGCAAGCACTCCTTGAACACAGTTTGCAGGCTTGCCACGAAGAGTTAGTGATTAAAGGGACTTTGCAGGATCTACAGGTGCGAGTGATAATTGTTTTAGCTTTTGTGATTGAAACCTTACTGGGTCTGACATTACATTTCCTCAGCTCACCTCGGGCGGGCTTCAAGCCCAAGAGGGGGAAGGTGGTGAAGGGCAAGGCAGTGGAGGCAGAGGCAGTCTCCTCCTGGATCCAAGATGTCAGCAAAAGCAGGAGCAGCAGCGCCTCTTCCGAAGTGGCTCGTGCAAGATCGCGCGCTCGTGCGCTTCAGGGATGATCCAAGCCTGTTGCATGAGCGTGTTGTGATAGCAGTGCATTCGGGGGATCTTTGCAAAGTTTTGACACCCGACCGGGACATCAACGAAACGCAGTTACATGTTGGTGAGATCTATTCAGAGGTTCTCCGAAAGGAGGCAGGGAGGCTCCCAACCGGAATCCGTGAGAAGGACACATATATGGCAAAGCACAGTGGTGCAGGGGAGTTCAGCCATACAGAGACAGTTTGTTCGGGAGGCTTTAGACGCAGGTTTTGACACTGCACCGCCTTCCAAACACCGTGTGTTCGGTAAGCTGGTTGATGGAGTGAGACACCCACCCCCGGTCGCTGAAGTTGACAACGGCCCGGAGGACGACTCTAGGATCTGGTTGGTGGTGTACAGGAGCAATGGCAAAGGGTTAGGTGATGAGATCTCAATCCCGGGGGATGCAACAAGAGTTACCCTGGGAGGAAAGCCTTTTGCATTGTTTTCACAAGACTCAGAGGAGGTTTTGGCGAGGAAGGTGAGCACAGCAGAGGTTACAAAGTTGTCGTCTTTGTTTCGCATGGGCGCACCTGAGCAAGCTGAGCGTGACCTCCGAGTCATTCCAGTGCAATACGACACAGCGGAGGAGAGATGGAGGACTCTGGCAGAAGCCATACCCGAACTTGAGGAGATTGAGTTCGATGATTTCCCGTTGCGGGGTCCTTGTACAATGTTCCGAGACGCTAGACAGTTGAGGCGACAAGGAATGGACTTCCTGCAGCACCATGAGGCTTGGCTTCAGAAGTCCGGTGTCAGAAGCACTGATCGCAGTGTCCACGAGCACGCCAATCTATGCAGAGTGTTGCAATATATGGCGAGCTACGATCAACTCAACATAGCATCTTTGGCATCCGCTGAGGCCCTCAACAGGCGGAGGACATTGATCGAGATTGCACATCAAGGACGGCCGGAAGCACCATCCTACGAGGGCGCTGAAGAGATTCTCGGAGTCCGACAGAGCGCCGATGGCTCCCTGCAGGGTCGACCCTGCCCTCACCAGCCATGCTGCGAAGAGACAAGCTGCAAGGGCTGAGGTGATGAAGCAGCGTCGTTTGGCCACAGAGGAGAAGCGGCTGATCAGGAAGAAGGAGGATGACGATGGGGCCGGCCACGCAAAAGGAAAAAGCCGTGGACGGGGACGTGGGCCGAAAGAGCCCACCCAAGATCCCTAGCCGACAGCACCCCCCAGGCCTGAGTGGCGCTGGGCCTGAGGGGGGACATGTTTTTGGCGCCAATACAATTTTCCATCCACCAAGGAAAAAATGGGGAGAGATTTTTCCTCTACTTCTTCCTGTTGACCATGGCTTTGCAGGTGGCAGTTGGGATCTAGGCGGTCTCAGCAGAGGGTGGCACGTAGGCGAAAGCTTTTGTCCAGGGAGTCTGACACAGTTCGAGCTTTGAATGTTTTGGCAGGCTTCGAGGACAGTGGTCAATGGCCTTTGGTGGCTCGGAATCTTGCTCAGGCGAGTGTTCTTCGTCGTGTTCATGATGCTCACCAAACTAGGCCACCATGGCCTGATCATCAGAGTGGACAAGCAGCGCTCAGGCAGCTGCTGAAGAAGGGGCCTGGCTATGATAGCGGCCCGGGACAGCTAGCAAGCTATCAGCGTTCCAAACTGTCCTTGCCTCGCGATCAAGCGGCTCCCATTGACATACAATCCATACTACCGGAGACAGAGTTGAAGAAGCTTGCCAATTTTCGCGAAGAACTTTTGCTCAGCCCCGAAGAGTTGGCAGGAGTCGTCGAAAAAGGTCTTGAAGGGCTCTGTTACCTTGATCCAGTGTTAGCAGGTAGTACAAGGAAATACCATGAGTTCATCGCTGACCTTTACAGTTGTGGCTTGTTGCATTTTACAAACACCCCCAAGGTACAGATAGATGCTTTTTGTGTCACTAAGAAGTCGGGAAAGCAGAGGCTTGTCATCGACGCACGTCGAGCAAACAGACTTTTCAGAAGACCACCGCGCACATTGCCGGGGCATTTCAAAAGAGTTGGGGGAATTCTTTTCTCTTCCGTCGATCGATGCAAAGGGTCTTCAGGATATCCTGGGTTTTGTACCACCTGCAGTTGACAACCTGTTGCAAAACCATGTTGGTCCCATCTATCCACGCATGGCCGTCGTGCCCATGGGTTTTTCTTGGGCTTTCCACTTGGCGCACGAGGCTCACGTGGAAGTGGCACGACGCTGTTTGGGGAGGACGGCCCTGCTTAGAGACAAGGAGCCATTTGCAAGGTTGGGACCAAGCTTGGGTGAGTCACGGACTTCACTGCTCATTTACGCTGACAATGCGAACCATGTTGGCATTTGTGCAAAAGAGGTCAACAAAGAGCGCGCCACTATGTTTGAGTTTGGAGTCGCATGGATTGAGCACACATGACCTTGTGGAAGCAACCACGTTGGCGGAATCCTTGGGAGTGCGCATCGACGGACTTTCCGGCAGGATCCTGCTCTCGAGGCATTGTCGTGGCGGCCTGTGATTTCAGGGGAGGAGATGCAGATTATAGCCGGACACTTGACCGTAAGGGCATTGTTGCGTCGGGGACTCCTTTCAGTTCTGCGGCGCATATATGTTTTCATTGAGCAGTGTTACAACAAACGTGTGAGACTCTGGAACAGTGTGGCAAAGGAGCTTTGTTTGTTTAGACATCTCATGATTTTAGGGGTCAATGATTTGCAAGCAGAATGGGACACACAGCCAATGGTGACAGATGCATGTTTATCAGGATATGCAGTCATGACTTCAAAACATGTTGTACAAGCAGAGAGATTTGGGAGGTGGGGCAAGCGCTGGTGATTCAAACGTGATAGATCCAGACTCATCGCACCTTGCCTACATGCTCTAGGGCCAGATGCTATATACAATGATATTCGCACAGTACTGCCCGATGTTCAGGGTGAAGACCTGGGGGAGATCTCAATGGACAAAGATTTTCCGGAAGTGGATGAAGAGTTTCTTTCATCTGACAACTGGAGGTTGCTATGGAAGCAGCCCATGTTCTTTCGAGAGCCCGTCCACAACATCGAGGCGAGGAGCGTTTTGAGCGCGATACGACACGCTTCAAAGGACCGCAGCAGACATGGTAAACACCTGCTAGTGCTGAATGACAACATGTCAGTGGTCCTTGCAGTCCAAAAGGGTAGGTGTAGCAACTACGGCCTTCTCAGAATTTTGCGGAGATTTTTGCACACAGTCTGGGCTCAGGGATTAGGCCGCACCTTAGGTGGATTCCATTGGAACGGAATGCCGCCGACTATGACAGTCGCACCTGGGAGAGGCTCAAAAGAAAAGCGCGCAGTGAAAGTTTTTTCCAGGGAGGAGGTTCAGAGACAGCAGACGAGGCTCAACCGAGAGCCAAGCGCAGGGAGAGTTTCGGGTGTGAAGAGAAAGAGAGAGGAGAGTCCAACCAGGGGGACCACGAAGACCAGTCATGTGGGACTCACCAGGTTGATCCGGAATCACAAGAAGAAGCGACAGCGAGCACTGGAGAGGAAGAAGAAATTCGCAACCCGCTTGAGAGCAACAAGGGGGAGCTCAGCCTGCTCGAAGCATCGAGCGTTCGAGAACCACAGCGCAAAGACTATGCGCGGAGGCTGGAGATGTTCTACACCTTTGTAGTCCGGTACGAGCTCAACATCCAGAAGGAGGCCGACCTAGACGCAGCGCTCTGCGAGTTCGTAGACCACCTTTTTCTGGAAGGGGAGGACTCAAGCTGGGGTCTCAAGCTACAGGCAGCTTTGGAGTTCGAGAGGCCAGAGTTCTCTCGAGAGGGACGGTTGTCACTGCCCCGCTTCAAAAGAGCTATGAAAGGTTGGAGGCTGAAGGCACCAACGCAAACCAGGTTGCCAATGCCGGAGTTCCTCAAGTCATGCATCAGTGGAGTGTTGCTGATGGAGGGCGAGCTCGAGAAAGCATTGTTCAACGAGACAACATTCAGCACATACGCCCGGCCGGGGGAGACGCTCCGGATGGCGGCAGAGGACGTGGTGAGCAACAACAAAGAGTTCCAGCACACAGTTCTTGTTTTGACTCCGCTGGAGAGAGGGGAGTCTTCAAAGGTGGGGCAGTACGACGAAGTGCTGATTTTGGACGATTCGAGGGCGCCTTTCCTCCCGAGGCTCCTACTAGAACAGTCCAAGAAGGCAGTCAAGGCACATGGAAGCAATGCAGACCTGTGGCCTTTCACAGCAGCACAGTTTCTCAAGAGTTGGAAGGCCGCAGTGGCACGCCTGCAGATAGGGAACATCGCAACCTCACCATATCAAAACCGGCGTGGAGGAGCCAGTCGAGATCATCTGAAACACTTGAGGAGCATCCCCGCCATTCAGAGGCGAGGACGCTGGAGCTCCGAGTCGTCGGCTCGGCTGTACGACAAGCCGGGCAGGCTGCAGCAGGTGGTCAATCAGTTTGGCACGCAGTACATGGAACTCGGCGAGAACATTCGCCAAAACTTCGGCATCTATTACCAGTGTGGTATGAACCGTATGCCCAAGCAGTTCAGGCAGCAACTCCGGCAGAATTGTCAAAGGACGTGTTCCTGAGTTTGTTTGGCGGAGTGGGAGAGGCAGCCAAATTTGTCTCTTCCCATGGGGGCACAAGTGTTTTGATCGATCTCGAGAATTCACCTTGCAATGATTTGGGACGACCTTCCAGATGGGCTGATGTACGAGAGCTGGCCAAGATAGCAACCATTGTTGGGATAGACATTCCTTGCAATACATGGTCACGGGCTCGACGAGCCCCTTGGTGGAGTCAGATGCCATCCGCACTCAGGAAGGACGGACAGTTTTTGTTTGGATTACCAAACCTCTCACCATCCGGTCAGCTGAAAGTAACTCTGCCAACCATATGGTTTTTGAGGCTATCAAGTTGATTCGATGGTGTGTTCGCAACAATATTTGTGGCTATTTAGAGAACCCATGGACTAGCATGATTTGGAAGGTTCCAGCTTTACAACGTTTGATCCAACAGGGCCTTGCGTTTTTGATTCGTGCTGACCAATGTCAATATTCACGGCAGTTTCGCACACCGACAGGGCTGTTGATCTGGGGCTGTTCACCTTTCGTTATGAAGACATGCGGGCATGGGCCTCTCTGCACGAGAACAAACAAGCGACATATTTTGTTGACAGGCATCAGACATGGAAAGTTCATGACTCATGCAGCTCAAGTCTACAGTACAGATTTTGCCGCTGCCTTGATCTCGTCTTTAGCCCTCCACAGGTTCCCACCCTGAGCCATTTTGGTCATGGGGTTGGGGTACAAAACGGGAGCATTACAATTCTGGCTTTTGAAACGTCTGCGACGATGGAAGAAGCTGGACTACGCTTGTTGGCAGCTCATGAGGAGCTCCCTGACTACAGGCTGATTGAGTGCACGAAAAATGAGCGCTCAGGATGCATCGGTCTGGGAGGTGGGACGAATCATAACCTTGCGTTCTGATTGGGGTTTGGTCACAAAAACGCTGCAAATTTCGACATAAATCTAGTTCTTTCCTGCGCAGGGGCAGTGAATTCTTGATGTATAGCAGTTTTGACAAACATACTTCCGTAGAGCGTTTACATTGTGCTTTAACATAAAACGGGTGACTTTTTGCAAGCCGGGTGACTTTTGACTAATGCTGCGTTTACATGCGGCCGGGTGACTTTCTGCAAACCCGGGTGACTAAACCCCAGCGCTAGTATATGTGTAACTATAGGCATATATTTATTTATACATTCATTTTGCTTGATGCTTGAAGACATGTCCTTAGCTTTGGTCTTTGCATGACTTGCTGATCCTGCCTTTGTGCTGGTGGTGCCAAGGAAAGGGGGCATCATTGTCAGCCCGTATTCTTGAAGCTCACTTGGCTTTGGTGTCAAGTGGGCATCAGTGAAACACCTAGGACCTACACATAGCGTGTAATGTTTTGACATTTTGGAACACTGCCAAGTCCAATTCACCATTGTACACCATTGACTATTGACCTTCCCAGGCGTCCCTATCATTTAAAAGTGCTTTGGTTTCTTGAGGAAATTCATGATGGCAAGATCTACATCACTGTGCGAAGTGGATCACTGGAACGTCCTCCCCGATTTCGGCGTCCACCATCTGCCCAGGACGTTGAGGCCTTAAGCCACTTGGACTGCGTCCTAGTAAGTCTCAACAGCTGAATAATGTTTTACTTGTTAATTACAGAGTATTGTTTGCCTGGTTGCTTGTGGGGATGGGGCCGCAAGTTCTTAGCACATCTGGAGTGCTTGAGTAATGTATTTCAAGTTGGCGGCTTTGTATTGGTCTTTGGATCACCTGCAGTTGGTGGAAATGAACTCCCTGGCCCTGAGCCTTAACATTCAGCAAACACTTGCACATCATTGGTGCCCAGCCAGTTTGGATCCTTATTGGGCTTCCATACAGCTTCTTTGTTTTTTTGCAATGGGCTGGAACATTCTAAGGAAATGCTGGTCAGAAAGACTCTGAGCCTGCGTGTCAGATATTGTCCGATCACTTTTTCCTGAGAAAGGGCAAGTGCTTGACCTGACAACCCTACTGCAATGAGCAGTGTAACAACAAGACAGACAATAGCAATTCAGTCAGTGGGTTCCTGTTTTTGAGGTCTTCAATGTTGAAGACTAATTGATTATCCAATGCTACCTCGGGCACCAACATGTCAGAAAATAGTCTGAAATTATCCACGCAAATGTGCTCCTGTTGCAGCTTCAAAGAAGCATGCATGTTTTATATTAGTTCAAGATAGGTGTAACGACGCTTTTCAACATATCCAACACGTGGAGGTACGCTCGGGTAGTACGCATGGTTGGTACGTGGTACGGGTACGTGGTGCGCATGGTTGG